ATAACAAATGACTGATTATTTAAGGTAGATTTTCCATGGAGTTTGCTTTGTTTCATTGAACATCAACTTGCAGCCACCCTCGACAAGGAAAAAGGGAGAAAAGTCTCAACATGAACCAGCTTCCCCAAATCAACACTATATATCAGTCTGTCTAAACCTTAAAGTATCATTGCGTAATTTTGTTTGACGGTTTTGTTTTCTAATTTCGTAAAAAATTGAAAGTAATAGTTTACATCTGTCTTGATCCCCTTGTTAAATCTGGAGAGATCTGCATATCTTTTCCAATCATCCAGTAAATTTTGTTGTTTCATTTTTATAAAATTTGTGAAAATATGATCTCGAATCTGATTGTTTTTTAGAGTTAATCTTATCACTGAATTCATTGATTTAGTCAGTTGAGTTACCTCCAGAACATCCTCCTGTTATATATTTTGTAAATTTAATAATGAAGTAATAAAGTTATAAATTTCTAGTTTAGAGATATTTCTTGTGGTAGGGTAATTATAAAGTATTATATTGTTGCGGTGAAATTCATTAACTAGAACATCCATTTTGTATTGCATAATTTCTTCTTCTATTTTTAAGTTATCAATTTGTTGTTTTAAATTGTTAATTTGTCCTTCCATGCTTCTATATTGTTCTTTGGTTTCTTGAATACTTTCATGAATAAGTCCAAATCTTCTTTAATAGAAATTATTTGGCTTGAAAGTTTATCATTGGAGAAGTTTATTAGATCAGAGATTTTGTTCCATAGAACTGCCATTGGGATGTCCAGTGAATCATTCAGATTAGTTAAAGAAATAGAATAAGGATTATTTAGCTCACCTGGAGGTTTTTGTGAACTTTGACCTGTTTCTGGATATAACTCCCCAATGGTAGCCAAAGATGATTCCTGTGAGTCTTTATCACCGAGTAAGTAGTAGTCTGTTATAAGTTTGTAATTGGTCAAAGACGGTAAATCTTTTTTGCTACCCAGTTTAGTATGATTTAGTAGTGGTCTTCCTCTTTTAACTGGCAAACATTGCATTTTAATTCATATTTAGTATTTCTCCAAAGATTGTTAGATAAAAGTTGAAACAAGTCTTTGTTTAGTAATATAAATTAAACGAAAATAACCAACACTCGGGTTTCCTGCAAGTAAACAAAGTGCGCAGCAAAAGTCACCAGCCGTTATTCATAAATTATTGTAATTTATGAATGAATTAGATGTCTTTTATTTAGTAAAAAACAAACAGAATATTTTGTATAAATTATTGCAGGATATAACTATAAATGAAATTGCCACATCTGTTATTTAGTGTGTCAACTTTTGTTTACAATGATAATACTCTTTTCTTCTTATGTAATTATATTTTCTTTTATTTTTTCTTTAACTGGAAAGTTATCAGAATAAAGTAAGTTTTCAATTAGTAGAAAAATTAAATAAAGGATATTCAACAAAATAAAGTAAAACAAAAATTTCAAACAAAGAAAAGTATTCAAGAAATGCATAAAACAAAGAAGTGATTTAAATAAAGTGAAACCTGAGTTTAGTGAACATCTGTACTTGAGTAGACAAAATATTCAATCCAGGTATAGCAATAGGACTATTGATGCATTTTTATCTTAAGTGGAAACTGCCATCTGCAGACAACAGACAAATATTTTCTATTCTTTGTATTCTCCTAAACAATATAATGAATTATATTTTGATCACAAATATCTATTGCAAAATGTTATGCTTATCTTCAGTGTCTTTGTTTTGTTGGATTTCTTTATATTCTTAAACTTGTCAATTTAGGTTTTTCGCACTTCCATTTTTAGATATTACCCTGACACTTCATGTGTCAAACATTGATTGATTAATGTTGGCATTTTCACTTTACATAATGAAAGGAGGAAACAGATTTTCATTTGAAATGTAAAAATTCATTAAGGTATAAAAAGAATCTTAAAAGTGATATACTATATAAATTTTTTATATTTGTAATTTTTAATCTGAATTGGCTATATCCATCTGTTATCCAAGATAGCATTGGTCCACATGGGTAATTGGGGTTCTACAATATTTACAAAAACTCAACATACAAAATGGAAAATGTTCTTACCCTATAATAGCAATTATATTGAAATAAAAATTTTTTAAACTTTTCTCTACTATACTAAAATATTAATATAGTAGAGAAAAGTTTAAAAATTTTTTACAGATTACAGATATTATAGCTGTATGGTTATATGGACAAAATATTACCACTTCAAGATAACAATAAAAACTGTACACAATTATACAATATTCTTTTATATTAAAGCACTGTTTGCTTAATTTTATTGAATCATTATAATCCTCTTTGGGAGTAGGACTTTATCAATTTTACTTATGTATGAATAAAAATAAAATAAAACATAATTTAAAAAACATATTTTAATTATATTCTTAAAAATTAAAAGTTATTTGAAATATATTCTTTATCTTAAATATTTGTTTAGTGTAACATTAAACTGATTTAACAGAAATAAAACACATATCACATTATAAGAAATAAAGTATATGTAAAAATTAAGCTATATATAATATGGCATTTATACATTATATTTATTTTTAAAATTTTGAATTTGTTTAAAACTATCAATAGTTTTTCACTTCAGAAGATACAGTAGAACCTCGATTATCCGGACTAATTGGGGATGAAGGTAGTNAAATTCTTTGACTATAAGTTACACGTCAATTTATTTAACTAAAGAAACCCAGTTAAAAACTGTAATAATAAAATATATTATTGTATCAGAAAGGAATCTTAGTTCTTTCTTAGACTACAGAACTTCTTACCTAAGTTCTCTCATGGCTAGGCAAACTCAAATGACAAAAGCCCACAGGACAAACCTGCAGCACACAAAACTTGTGTGTACAAAATTTCATATGCACTTTTATTCTTATTATGTTGTTAGTGAATTTTATTTTACATAATTTATACCAGTGCCTAATACTGTGCTGGACAAAAATTGTTATTGTGGCAATATGCTATTTGATTTTGTATTTGTATTTAAGAATTTTCTATGACATGTGTTCAGTATGGCTGCTTTCTGTAATATGATGTATATGCTGTTGTTAAAATCTAATGTTCTAAACTGTTGTACAGTGTACGTGGTATGATGTCTGTTCAAGAGAGGATTACAGGTACAATAATTACAAACTCTTCAGTTGGACTGAATGTAAAAATAAACTGGATGTAGAACAATCCAAAATCAATAATAGCTGTTGTCATAAATATTGAGTATGATGAATTTTATCAACTTGGCATTAAGGAGGAAACTGAAGTCATTATACACTTGTAACCAGTTTACATTGTTCAAAGAAAATATTACCAGCATCAAAGAAGTAGATAAAGAAGTTAGTGTAAGGAAAGTTTTCACAAACTATCTTTCGTTGGAAGCTGAGGGTTCAAAAAATGCAATTGTTTAAATAAGTGTTCAACAAAAAAATGCTTGTGCAAATCATCATATTTGATATACAATTCTAAATGTCATAATACTCAACCTTACTGCAACCACTAAATTTTCTCTATTATCAGAACAATTATCATTCGTATAAATTTGTTTTAAATTATAAATTTTTTTTCTATATTACTATAACCTAATATTTCTCAACACATAGGAGTATTCATTTGCAAGTGGCCACTAGATTTGTTAACGTGGAGGCTAAAAAACTACATCCATGTAAGTAATAAAAATTACATGTTTTTGCAGTTGAATACTTTCATTTTCTTAATTTATATTTTTAAGCATACTACAAAACAACAGATACATATGAATACTTTTTTTATCCAAACCAATTGGTAAATCCATACATTTACCACTATCTCTTGGTAAAAGTCCAAAATGGAAACATTTTATCAGAGATTTTGGACTTTTACCAGTCAATATCAGTAAATGTCCAGATTTACCGGTAATTTTTAAAAGTTATTGGACTTTGGACTTTAACAGTAACATATATAATGTTATAATACAGAAATGGCAAACTCAAATAAGCTTGCATTAACTAAAAAATAAAAAAAAGTGAGCAAAATAATTTGCCATAAATTTTAAATATAAGGGAAAGACTAAATTTCAAAAATTGTTACATTACAAGGTATAAATCTAAACACAATCTTTTCAGGTAACTGTATATCAAATTAATAATTTATTGGTATTTAGCTATAATTAAATAGAAAAATCTATAATAATAAAAACCTGCATTAATATTTGTAAAGAGTTTACATAAAAATCAGTAAGATAAAAGTGAAGAGAAACATATAATAAACAATAATAATTCATGACAATTTTCTACTTACATTTATTTATTTTTTAAATTTTAAATAAACGTTAATTTTGTTTAAACATTATTCATATACCAACAAAATTCTTTCATATATCAACTACTTTCCGCTTCAGGTACAGTGTGCTTATTACATTTTATTAAAATATTAAAAATATAATTATTATTTTAAAAGTTCTTACTTCCATAAATTTACATAAATTTGTAATGAAGAATTAATTTACACATGTATCTGAAAATTTTTTAGTAATTTTATGGTTTCATAAATACTAAGGTTGAACTTATACCATAATTTGTAAACATGTAAAAAAAAATACTGGTTATTTTGGCATACTTAAGTTTTAATCTTTTTTTTTAGAAAAAAAATAATAATTGATTGCAAAGCTATAAAATTGTCACATAATAAAAATAATAATAATAATATTATTATTATAATTATAGTATAAATATTATGTATATAATAGTATTAATAATAATGTTGTTTTATCCTATAAAACTTCGTAAGCACAAAGATTTGTCTGCATGAGATTTTGTGTATTATAATTTTGTCTTTGGGCTTTTGTCATTTGAGTTTATCTAGAATCACTTTTTAATATGAGAATTAAGTATTAAATTTTAAAACAAAAATTTATTTCAAATAAAATATTTTAATTATGATAAAACTAGATGTAAGTTTTAGTATAAATTTATTATTTCGTTTGCCACTAACCATTTCTTGACTACCATATGTTGTGCAAATGAAGATTTCTACTTAAAACAGACCGGACATCACTGGTAAACCTCAATGCATCTAATACTGGTAATAAATTTAAAAGTGCAGTGTCAGTTGGATCTGAAAACCAAGATTTGATGGGTATAGCATTATCTGTAAATATAAAAAAATCAATAATTATAATGTCATATAAATAGTATTATAATCATTATATACAGTATATGTATCATATTCTCTTAAATAAACATTATGCTGATTTTTTAAATAAAAAATTTAGAAAATATTCTGTTACAATATATGAACCTAAAATTCTGATAAAATTGAAAAATATTTTTCCTTTTATAGTAATTGTGAAAAGTTTAATAATAAAATTTAAAGCATGTGGAAATTTATATTTCCTGACTTAACATCAATTTTTATTAATATAAATTTATATGAATATATGTATTTAATAATTAGCTAAATTGTACACTTAATAAATTTAATTAGCTAAATTTAGCTAATTAAATTTATTAGCTAATTTAATTTAGCTAATAAATTTAATTAAGGATTAGAATAATGGCATTATTCTATACCATGGCACAAAAAATTACATATGTTGTTATCTAATGGCAGTATCACTGCACAGATTATAAGTATAATGCACAATTCTTTGTTAATGCAATAAAATGTTATAGTCTATAATAGGAGTCAGCAACCATGGCATGCCAGAGCACAAACAAAATCTTGAGCAATGTATTGATAAAACAACACATACAAAACAAACCTTTATCCATTTATTCTTAATTTTGGTATGCATCTCCTCAATTGTATCACTATTCCATATAATGTATTCTATAAATATTTATTTTATCACTAGATTCAATAAATATTTTAGAATATATCACCCATAGATAAGACCACAAGTTTTATAAAATCCTATGCATTCAGAACCATAACATAAATTTGTGGAAAACAACAGAAAAGTAATTTATAGTTATACCATAACAATTATTGACTAAAGAACTATGCCCAGATGCAATATAAATATAAATACTGTTAAGTATTAAATTTGCCTGTGATTAAATGGTAAAAGTATGTAATACATATTTTTATTTCAAAATTTTGATTTTGCAGCAGGGAATTTTACTTGTAACAGAAATATTACAAGTAAAATTTACTTGTTTATTAATGATAATGATGTTGTTGTAATAATTTTACATCATCATTATCATAAATAAATAGATTTCATTTATCAATTATTAATTTTTAAGGTTATAAAATTCTCACATGCAACAATTTTCTATAACATATAAAATATTTAACATGTTGATATGAGTGAGATCAGCTTCATTTTTGCATTATAAGGATAAATTTAGTTAAAATACCTACTTAAAGTATAAGCATGATATTTGCTGCTTGAAACTCTGTGGAATAAGAAGTACATATAGCAAAGTTATTAAGATGTTTCTGCTTAGTACTGCAAGTGCTGTGTGTTGAACATCAAGTGTTCAAAGCCTTTTTTTTTTTTTTTTAAATACAGGATTACCCTCTGTACTACAATTAATGCATTTCACAAAATTACTACATTAATTGACGAATGTATTGAAAGAGGAAAATAATGATTTGTTTAAAAAAAGGAATTTTTTTTCCACTAAAAAATAATTAAAATTGACTTAACAATCTATATATGTAATAAAATGTTTGTCTCCTATACACTTCTAAGCCCTCTGACTAATTCAGATCAAAGTTCACAGAGTTATTCTGTAGGATCCTCAGAAAATATAACTACCATAAAATCTGGACACTTCATCTCCTCCTTATTTCATTTTAATGATCCTGTGATAAGTTAAGTGAATTGTATTATATAAGTAAGCATTGCATAATAATGAAGGCACCATACAGTCCATGAACCATATTCTTAGTGATGATCTCAAACAGTACAGGTCTTCTAGACTTGGGAGCTCCATTGAAATAATACTGTTGATTTGAACTGGCTTAAAATATCCAAACTTTTAATATGGTTTTAATTTTAATGTTTGTCCTTATTACTTTATTACTGCCTGGTAAGTCATAAAATCAATAAAAAAAAAAACCACAAGAGGATGAAATAAGATACTATTAAACTTAATTAAATTTTTATTAGTTTATTTTGCAACAAAATTTTAAAATATTTTTATTAGAAGAAAAAAAAAAATTATCCATGTTGACTACCTCCAATCTCCATTTCTTTCCTGCATTAAACTCCCAGTAGCATCAAATTGATTTTACAATGTTCTTTCATTTTAATGATGCATTCTTCATTTGAATTGTTATGCAAAATTATATCAGAAGTGAAGTTTTTAAAACATGCATCAAAAAAATCTAAAATATGTGACACAAAAAAGTAATAGGTAGAATATGAAGGGTGAATGACTGAACTGACATGAGCACCACTAGCAAGATGTAGAATAACAGTTTTTGCTTTAAAGTTTTTAATTACTAAACAGATACTTCAAGTGCAAGAATTTATTTGCACTATTTTAAAGAATATTTTTATTATAATAAATTTATATGTTCATAGTACATTTAAAATGGTATTGATCCACTTTCATTTACTCACATTTATGTCATTTTTTGTTAACAATTAATTTTAGAAGTATTATTATAAATTCTCATATATATATTATATATGATTGGATTGATTATAATAGTGACAATATTATAATCAATCCAATCATTCTGCATTGATTAAATCTTCTAGCACATTTTATAAATTGCACTATAGTGAATTTTGAACTAAATGAAGTCACACTAAGCAAAGAATGTTGGTAAACTTGAATATCTATTTAAAGATTTGGCTAAGAAAACTAAAGTTGTACGAATGGCTTTTTTCCAAGATAAAAGGCAAGCAGACATATTCAGTCAAGTGGTTAGAACAAACAATAAAGCTATTGAAAATATTTATAAAATTGTTCTATGTATAGCATAAAAAAAGAGAAAAAGCTTTTTTCTGCTGGAAAATACATAAATTTTTTTTACAAACAGAGCTGGGAGTTTTATTTAATGATTTGCCAAATAAATACCTGACAAACTTTGGGCTTGTATTTAAGAAGTCTAACATAATACCTCTTAAATATAAGCCTGAAGTTTAACACAAAATATTGTCCAAAAGTGTGGTACACATACTTGAGGTACTTGAAAGATTTACATGGTAATTTGACTATTGTATTAACTGAATAGGTAGAATCATTATTAAGAGAAAATACTGCAGCAATGAATTATTTTAAATACAGTGGGTGATCGGTTAACGAACATAATCCGTTCTTTGTTCCATAATCCAAGACTTTGTTCGCTATCCGAATTGTTCGTTAACCGATTATGAATTTACCATAGGTTTGTATGGGAATTTGATTAATTTGTTCTGGAGACACCCCAAAATAAAAAATACTGTATATACTTTCTTACTACGTTTATTTATATGTAATAATAAAAATACATATATACACAGAATGTGCATTTTTATTAGTTATGGTTTTTTGTTTGTGGGGGTTAAATAATCTGTCTAATGTCGATTGCTTTTCTCTCTTCTTCGGGATTTTTCAGAAGTAATTAATAGCATTGTAATTGTAGAGATCCCCAAGCCTATTAACCTCAACCTGGTTTGTATGCCATTCTAAGACCGTTGATCTGACATCCCCCATTTCTTCAAAAGATCTTTAATTAATAGCAGATATCGGCATTAATCCTCTTTTTCAGAATAAAAC